CTCTGCTTCCTGGTTCAAGAAGTTCACCCCTAGCTCTAAAATATGCTCCTCTCACATACTGCCCTCACCAGAGGCCCAAACACTAAGACATCACCCAATCTTGGAAATCTTGAACCTCAACCTCTAGAACCCCAGCTCAAAATAAATCTTTCTTTACTTTGTAAGTATCTTGTGTTGATACGTTGTTACAATGATACAAAGCTGAGAAATATACCATATTAACAGACCATAAATGAAAACCAAATGTTCATCTTAACAGATACAGAAAAACCATTTAACAAAATCCAACATCCATTCATCTACAAAGGCCTTAACTAACCTTAAATTTAATGGTAGACTGAGAGCCTCCCCCTAAATCAGGAAAAAATGAGGATATACACCATCACCACTTCTACCATAGTGGCAAATTCGTGGTACACATGCTACATCTGGCTGTTTGTTATCATTAAAAGTGCTGAAAGATTCACTATCACTGGTCTAGAGGTTCTGGCTAGTGTGATAGGTTAGGAATGGGGTGGAAAGACACTGGTGCTGGGGCTAGGTCTGGGATGTAGCTCAGGAGTAGAACACTTGGCTAACATGCACAAAACCCTGGATTTGATACCAACTATTGCAAAAAAAGAAAATAAATAAAAGACATACATACTAAAAATAAAATTATCTTCATTCATAAATAGCACAATCATCTATGCTGAAAGGGCTAGGGAATCTACAAAAAAATCCTAGAACAAATAAATGAGCTTAGGAAGGTTGCACAATATAGAACTATATTAGTTAGTACGCTCCAGAACAACAGAACCTATGGGGTGTGTGTGTGTGTGTGTGTGTGTGTGTGTGTGTGTGTATGTGTGTTAATGTGTGTGTTCATGCACATATGTGGTACTGCAGACTGAACCCAGGGCCTTCACACTGAGCTATATCCTCAGGCCTTTTTTTTTTTTTTTTTTTTTTGAGGCGAGGTCTCATTAAATTGCTAAGTTGCCCAGGCTGGGTTCACATTTGCCATTCTCCTGTCTCAGCCTCCCAGAGTGCTGGGATTACAGGTATTTGCTACCACACCTGTCTTGAAAAAGAATGTATTATAAGGCACTATCCCACAAGTTTATGGTAAATGGCAACTGCCCAGATCTGCAGTCAGCAGGCTTGAGACCCAGGAAGAGCCAAAGCTAAGCTTAAGACTGCAGGCAGCCCGGCAAAAGGAAATCTCTTACTCAGAAATGGGTCTATTCAAGCCTTCAACAATTGGATGTGGTCCACCTTCATGGCCTGTCTGCCAATTCAAATGTTCATCTACAGAAACAACTTCAAAACCTTCCCCAGAATAATGTTTGGCCAAATAGCTGAGTACTGAATACCCAGGCAAGTTGAGACATAATAAAATTAGCTATCACAGAGGTTAATACACAAAAATTGACTGGTTACTAGACAGAGGAAACATATCAAATTGATAAAAATATATTATCAGAGCATCAAAACTATGAAACACAACAGGCAAATCTGACAAAAATGTGCAGTACTTTGTATAAAGAACTATAAAATATGGCTGAGAACAGCTACGGATGCTGTCAAATATTTAAGAAGATTCAATGTTGTGAAGGTATTGATATGGGAACTGATATGCTTCACCTACAGACAAGATAATCCAGTCAAAATCCCAGCAGGTTTTTTTCCTTTTTTTTTTTTTTTTTTTGGTGGGGGGTGTTTTGCTTTGTTTTTAGATATGGACAATTTGATGCTAACTTTTATGTGGAAATGCTCCTTAGAGCACACTGATTTTCTTAACTTTAATAAATATAAAACCTCATTATCTTTTTAAAAAAGAAAAAGGAGGGCAGAGTAGAGTTTGTGGTGCTGCCCAGTCACAGTTTCACTATACAGCTGCAGCAACCCAGTGCTAGTGGCCACAGACCAGTGGGTCAGGGGAACCACAGGAGGGTGCAGACAGTGGTCATATTGGGCAACACTGGTATCCACCAAGGGCCAGGCCCAGTCAGTAGAAAAGGACCAGTTTTTTTTATTACTGATCCCAGAGGAGTGGTACATATAAACCTCACATCATAGACAAAAATGACTTAGAACTGATCAGAGATCTAAATGTAAAACCTAAAACTATAAAACTTCTAAAACATAGAAGCCAGAATCTTTGTGGTGCCAGGTTTGACAGTCTTCTTAAATTGGACATAAAAACTACAAAGAAAATAATTAGTATATTGAACATCATCAAGTTCAACAGTTTTGGCCCCTCAAGAAACACAAAACTGGAAAAGCTAGAGGGCCATGTCAGCAAAACATATACCCCAAAAAGACTTGTGTCCAGAATATATAAAGAACCCCCACAGGTCAAGAGAAGACATAACTCTAATTTTCTAACAAGTTAGAACAGACACAACCTTGGATTCTGCCCATCCCAGCCCTCTTCCCACTCTGCATTGCTGGAGAAGCCTGGCTGGCCAAGCTGCCCCAACATGGCCTGCCCACCCAGGGCCACCTGCGGATGCAGTACCGTTGAGATAGTAACTTCTCCTGGTCCTGTCCCCAGCCGGTGGGCTGCCCTCTGAGAAGCACACCTTCTTAGGCCGAAGCATCTCCCTGGGCTCAAGCAGTGCTTTGTCTGCCAGTGGGTCTTGCAAAGGGCTCAGGAGCGGGGACAGCTTCCTGTCATTTCGAGTGCGCAGCTCAGGGGGGCTGAGGAAGGACTTGAAGGGCACCTGGGAGGAGGTCACACAGCCTGGGGAAGCCTCATCCTCACTGGAGAGGGGGGCATGTGAACAAAGCAGGTCCTCCAGGGATGATGTTGGCAGCTGGGAGGCTGCTTCGGAAACGCTGGCAAACCTCCCGAAATCTGGACCTGGGGTGGGAGGAAGAGGCTAAAGTTAGGCTCAGGCTCCCTAGACACCCCACTGTGCAGAGTGAGGTAGGGGATTCTGAGAGAGGGCACCTGCCTCACAATTCAACTCCTAGAGCCTACAGACCTCTGTACACTCGCAGTCACACTCCCTGGGGTGATAGTTACATGATTTTCAAATTGGTCCTAAATGGTATTATCCTAATAGTTTACTAAGCAACATATTTTTCTGAGACTTCACTATGCTCAGTCACTTGGTAGCCACTGGCAAATTCTCCACTTTCCAGCACATTGGGGTCTTTCCACCCATTTTTGTTATGAAGACAAAGCTGCAGCAGCCTCACCAGCACCATCCCTGCTCATAAGCCCTAAGATCCACACCTGGGCGTGGTGTGTACGTGTGTGTGTTTGACCTTCTTCGATTCCTACCACTGCTCTCATGCACAGATGTTATACCCTGTTTCCCTAGTTCCTGGTCACATTCAACTTTTCTAATGAAGTGTTTTTTGATCCCATGTCAGTTTATTCTCCTAGCAATAAAGCAGTAACATATTTTAGATACAATTTTTAAGAACTATATCGAGGGCCCAGGGAGATGGCTCAGTAGAATAAGTGCTTGCCTGGCAAGCATAGGGTCCTGAGTTCAATCCCTGTTACTGAAAAAAAAATATTGAAAAGTTATCTTAAGATGTACATACACATGACCAAACTAATTTGCCTCCAAAAATGTTTCCCAAGAAAAAAGAAAACACACCTGCAAGATCTGTCTCTTATCTGCTGCCTGGCAGGCCAGGGGCGTTCAGGTTCCAAGCCCCCATACTACACCCTACACTACATAATACGTTATACATTACTACGTGCCAGTTAGAAATGTTTAAAAGAGAGAGAGAGAGCTCTTCTGGAAAATTATTTTTAAATGATTTGATAAGTAGAAAACCTAAATGAGCCAATAAATAAGAAAAATATGTTATAAACAATTATTCCCCAAAGGACTTCGGCACAAGTAATGTGTAATGAAGTCTTTCAAATTCCCAACAACTCTTAATTCCAACATAATATAAATAAGTTTGGGATATTGAAAAAAAAAAAAGATGCTCAATTAAGATTAAATTTTGCCATAGCGCTGATATCAAAACCCTACAAAGATAATCCCCAGAAGGAAAACTGTGGTTCAGATTCATATAAAAATGGAGACCAGAAAAAAATTCACACAAAGCCTCTCCAGAAAGATGTCAAAACAGATCCAGGAGAGACAGCAGATTACAAAGCCCAGTAGCCACAGGGCAGACAAGATTCCCTGGCAGCCTTGGGAAGCTGAAGGAACTTCCACCAACATAGAAACAGCCTCCAGAATTGAACAAAATAAGCCATTTCTCATTTGCCAATTTTTTGTTCTTCAAATTTAGAAGCAGGTATTTGATGATCTAAAGTGAGCCTGGGGAGAGTCGCATGGAGAGAAAAAATATTTTCTCAAGCTTTCACAGAAAGCAAATTGGTCAAGCAATGGCCATGACTCATCCTCATGTCAGACGCTGACAAAAGGATGTACAAAGGGCTGTACAGGGCTACAGGATAAATCCTGAGAGTACTTGGCTGACCTTATCATATACAAAAGTTACAATTCTGGGTATATAGGTCTTGCTATATCTTGGTCTTAACCATCCAGCAGAAAAGTATAAAAATGAGGTATATAAAGTAAATCCATATTAATACGATGAACTGTAAAAGGCTCAAGTCAATAACTTCTGAGGATAACCCACTAATATTA